TGACTGGAAAGCTGGGTCATCAGGAAGAGTTGAAAATTTCAGCCCAATAAAATCATTTAGTCCTGAATATTCCTCCAAATAATGATCTTTGAGCATCTAGTCAGCTATGGATCAGTCTTGACAGGATCAATGGTTGCTCATAGTGTCTTTTAGTGCAGAACTCCCTCGGCACCGAGGGTGGCAAGTGACTCGGTGCATGCTTGCCTGTCGTTTCTCCCCAGGACCATCTGATTGGACATAGCCTGGCAATCATTTGTCACTGGGTTAAGAAGCCCTTGCTCGGGGCTGGGGATGTGGCTCAAGCGGTAGCGCGCTCGCCTGGCATGCGTGCGGCCCGGGTTCGATTCTCAGCACCACATACAAACAAAGATGTTGTGTCCGCCGAGAAATAAAAAAAAAAAAAATAATAAAATATTAAAAAAAAAAAAAAAAAAAAAAAAAAAAAAAAGAAGCCCTTGCTCAAGAAGCTGTCCAAGATTTCCTATTTTTTTTTCCCCTAAATGTAAAGGAGGGTTGCCCCCGCCCAAGCCATCTTGTAACTCATTTTAGTGGAGTCGTAGACACACAAGGCAGCTTCAGTTGTTGATTATTGTCATTGTAAAATAGTCAAGCAACTTTGCCACACCATAGACGGCTTGTTTCTTACTTGTGGATCTTGTCCAGAATCACTCCGGAGGACTACCAGGTGATCAGAGCAGGTACTGGTTCCTGGTGTGCTGTTATGGTGGAGTCTGACCTGGCCATGCTACAGATGAGGCCTTCCATGAGGAATCTCAAGGCCCACAGAGGAGCACAGTGCTTCACAGCCTGAGGAAGTATCTTTCTGGCCCTGCTGTCAGCTTAGTTAGATGACAAAGTAGCATTTACCTGCAAAGCTACTCCTGTGGTCTCCATTGCTGTAGTCACTTTCTCTCAAGGCACTCTGGGTGCCTGGATTGGCTGATAGGCACCAACTGTAGGGCAGTGCTACCATGGCTACCTAAGAAATCCTCAGAATTTTACCCTATAGCCGTGGGATGGAGGGTGAAATGTTCTCGGATTTCTTTTGTGCAGTACTGAATCTCTCAGTTATATAACTCAAGCATCAGAAAGAAACCCCATGTTTATCCAATGTGAAAGCATCTTACAGCAAGCCTTTTGTTCCTACAAATTATTGGTAGTGATTTTATGTCTGTTTGAGTCCTTGCTTTTGTTTTGAAGACATACCTCGCTGTACTACTCCATGTAGCATCCAGGTTAGAATCTCAACTCCTGTCCTGGGTGTGTCTGTATTCAAGCAGTCTCAAGTCTTCAAGAGCTGGGGTGCTGGTTCTCAGTTATGACTGCATGTCAGAAACACCTGAGGGGCTTTTGGAACTGAACATCTGGGCCCCACTCCTCAGCCAATTGTACCAGAACTGCTGGGAGTGGCACCTGGGTGTTGCTGGGATTTTTCCTTTGAGGAAGTTTACATTATATTGACACGTATCCTCGGGCCCTGTTTGACTGTAGACCAGGGCACATACCAGTACCACCCAAATCCAACCAAGCTCATCCCCACTCCCTAGCAGCCATTGTGTGATTATTTTCCATCTTAGGTGTGTTTTGCCTGTTCAAGGATTTTATATAAAAGGAAATTGGGGTTTTTTTTTTAGAGGCTTCCCTGATGGTTATAATGTGATCAACTGAAGTAGGATATCTCAATCTGAGGAGTACTTTGTTCAATGAGGAGTAAGAAATTCTTGGAATAGTCTATAAGGGCAGTATTTTGAAACTATTGTAGACAGTTTTCATCAGATAACGCTAAGAAGGAGGGGGCGGCTTCTGTCCTTTTGGCCTTGTTTTCTTTCACACTTTGCTGAAATACTCATTTTTCCAGGCTCAGATCCACACTCTTAATTCCACTGAGAAAAAATATTCTAGCAGCCTGGCTCTAAGTGAATTTAAACACAATTCAAAATCGGATTTTTATCCTCTATATACTATGTAGTTTTGTGAAATTAAGGTCCTTAGCATGAACTCTGTGTATTCATAATCTTCCCCAAAACAAAGAAATGTTGCTGCACATGGTTACACTAAATTAACAATTCATTTAAAAATGTTTAAACAAACAAAATAAGGTTTGTGAGAACATGCAACCTCCAAAATTTTGCAGAATCTTTCTCTACTAAAAGACAGCAGGAACTGTAGACCTGCATTTAAACTGAATAACCACAGGAGTAAGTTGGTGCACAAGTGACCCAAACCTAACCAAAGCATGGTTTCCCACTCCTTTGCAGCGTGTTTCAATAGTATGAATGTTTCAAAGAAAGAACAATTTGCTTAGGTCATTGCAGCTAAAGTAGTACTGATTCCAATTCTAGCAATGCATGATTTTTGCCCATAGAGAAACCCTGCATTGCTTTGTTTTATGAGGCTCAGATTCCAGCTCTAGGGTAAATTGTGTCACAGGTTTCTGCTTAGAACACAGAAAGAAAAACATGTTTCTGTGCATACATATGGCACATAGCAGCCTTGAGACAGAAGCTGGGGTTTTGAGCTGGCCAGGTTGAGGCTATTCAGTAGTGCACAGGCACCCTTTCCATGGCCACTTTTTCCATGAGACAGCTTGGAGCCAGCCCTGGAATTGCTCCAGTTTAGCTGGAGTTATAGGAAGGTCCAAAGAAGAGGGTATTTCTGCCCTGCTTAATTGACAGAAGAGTGGGCACAGTATTTGGTGAACATTAAAACTTTTTCAGCAGTGTTGATTATATATATTTCTTGTGAATAATATATTACCAGTTAATAGAACTGTAACCCCAGTGATACTATTACAAGACTCATAAAATCGTAACTTAGTGACAAGGTAGATACCTGAATTTCAGTAGTGCACCCAAAATGTTTTGGAGTTGACAAGATAGTAAGGCACATAGCAGGAAGGATTTGTTTTTATTCCTCCTTATTTGTAAAGGAGTATAAATTTTTCTAATTGCTTGCAAAAAGCAGCCATGTCTGATCATCTTACCTTTTCTCTTCCCCATATCTGACAACACATCAAACTGCTTGCTTAGTCTAGAGAGGATGTGTGGAAGGACATTTGCCCAAAGGTGTTTGCCCAGAAGCACTAATGAAAAGGCTGCAGTGCCCCCAGGAATGCCTCCTGCACTCCCCTGAGGTGCAAGAAGCAGCTCCTGGCAGGCGCCACTGGTAGTCTACAAATGCTTGTGTGAATGAGAAACAGGGAATCCTAATGAAAGCCAGAGCATCTTCAGCATCCTGACCAATTTTTTTTTTTTTTTAAACTAAGGAAAAAGAGAAAAGAATTGTGGGTTGGGGATGTAGCTCAGTGGTAGAGAGTTGCCCAGTATATGTGAGGCCCTGGGTTCAATCCCTGGTTCCAAACAAACACTATTGCAGGCCACCGCAAAAACAAAACTATCTAGAGTTTGATGTTTGTTTTCAAGTTCTGTGTGTCTCTAAGCGGTACATATGGCCAGGTACCAAATTCTGTGTTCATAAATTGAGTTCATCCTTTCTTTCCCCTTAGTATGGCTATTTTACTCACTTGAAATTCAGTTTAGTTCATTTGTCCTTTTTTTAGGGGAAAAAAAAAAAAAGAGACAGAGAATTCCCAAGCTGCATCAACCATTTTCCCCCAAAGACTGTAAACCTGGGGTCCAGGAAATTTCATTGCTTTTTGAACTCCATAGCTATGCCATTGGTACTCTGTCTGGGCCACACATCAGAGCCACATGAAGAAATGGCAAACAGAAACAGGTTACAGGTCCCACCTCCAGCAATTCCAGCCCAGGTGCCCAGGAGTGATGTCCAGCTGCATAAAAAAAAAAAAAAAGTCATGTCTGGAGAGCACGGCCAGGGCTGGTGAACACTGCTCATGGTTGGTGTAGATTTAGAAGCTATGTACTCAGCAGTAGAGCCCACTAGGAAGAAAGCACTGTGTCTGCCCTACACATTCCTGCAGAATCCAGATGAGGTGCTCGAGTGGAAGGAAGCTAGCACCTGTACCACAGAACACCAGAAATCAAGTTTCTTGAAAATAAGATTGTTTTCCACCTTATTCAGATATTTTAATGTTATGTATATGTATAATCAGTTGAATTAAGCTTTAGCTGGAAGCCCTGTTACATGAGAAATATTTGTTCTTTCCTCTGCTATATTTAGCAAATTAAAATGACTTCCTGTGCATAAAGTTCTTTCGGCAGGAATTGTATCACTAGACAGAGAATCATAATCTAGTAGCCTGAGAAAGTTACAGCATCCACAGAAACACGGCCAGACCAACTAGGTTCCTTGGCAGTCGGATCTAGTTACCTTCAGAGGTTCAGCATTTCTTCTTTGCCTTCAATTTGTCATGTCTGGACCTTGACTCTGTACATAGAAACACGTGTCTTGTCTCCCAACTAAGTATGACATGAAAGGCAAATTCCTATTTGCTTTTTTTTTTTTTTTTTTTTCAAATTTTCTGAGAGATAAGTGGAAGAACCTAATTAGCTTGTAGGCCAGACTAATAGGAGCAAGAGTTACTCCTGAACAGACCTATAACATTTTAAAATAGATACGTTAGCGCACAGTGGCACTATGTATGATTCATGTGACACAGATTTTTTTAAAATAACCCTTTTAACAAAGAATAGTGTTTCATTGAAATTTTCTATTCAATGTTGCTAATTTAAGATGTTCCCATAAAGGACTTTAGTCGTCGTTCTTTTTGTTAAAAAAAGAGAAATCCTCCATTATATCTGTTATTTCTTTTTATCTGAAAATTAGAGTTTCAAAATAACAAGAAAATATTTATCATTTCTCAGATATTATGCCAAACCCAACTTAGTATTTTTCAAACACACTTTGTAACATCAAATACTATTTCTGCCATGCATATATTGCAGATTGCTCTATCAAATGTTGGAAGTAATTCATCTTTTAATAAAATCTTTGCATACTGTAATTCTTTATATATTTTTATATAGATATTGACATATGAACCATTAGACCTTATATTTGGCATCTTCTTTCTTTAACAGAGCATTAAGAAGAAGAATACAAACAAGCAGGAGATGGGCACGTACCTGAGGTTCATTGTGTCCCGCATGAAGGAGAGGGTGAGTTCTTTGAGGGAGTCTTTCATGATCCCCACCAGACATACTTTGCTCTGGTTCATTCTTTCAGAGTTAATGGCTGGGAAATAACTAATGTGAATATAGCAATATGAAGTGTGAAAACCAATGCTATCACATTTGTTCTCTGCAGTAAACAGTTCTGCATTAGGTTGGTTAGGCTTTTTTATTTTTTCTTTGTTTTTTAACACAAGCATCTTATTAGCCACATGAGATCAATTTTAAATTTTCGTTTTCCACAATTAACATTTTCATTGACAATTACTGTTTAAAATGGAGTTTTCCAAAATAACTTCTTTTGATCAAAACTTGAAGGAATTCCACACTGAACTACATAGTATATAAGTATTTTCCACTAAGTTTTAAAGTACTTCATGTAGATTTCTCACTTTTGGTAGGTTGTTTTTTTTTTTCCTGCGTGTGTGTGTGTGTGTGTGTGTGTGTTACTGGGGATGGAACCCAGGACCTTGTGCATGCTAGGCAAGTGCTCTACTAAGCTGCACACATCCCAGTTTCTCTTTAAAGGCAGAAAAAAATATTGAGTTTTAGGAATTGAAGTTTTGCCTGTCTCTCTTTAATCACATTTAAAATTAATGTATCTAACAACCTTTCAGGCTATAGATCTTAATAAGAAGGGGAAAGACAATAAACACCCCATGTACAGAAGGCTGGTGCACTCAGCTGTCGATGTTCCCACCATACAGGAGGTAAACTGGTTCATTTAACTTGTGCTTTGATACATTTTCTTTTCTATTCCTTTTTTTTAAATTTTATTTTTTATACTTATAGATGAACAGAATGCCTTTATTTTATTTACTTTTTATGTGGTACTAAGGATCGAACCCAGTGCCTCACATGCTAGGCAAGCACTGAGCTACAGCCCCAGCCCATGATATGTTTTCTTAAGTGTTACATTAAAGAACAACTTAGCAGTGAAACCAGGATTCTGGTTGCTTCCTTCCACTTCTCACCAGAGCAAGAAAAGGTGTAACCACCAGATAAAGCATGATTACCCGTCAGTTTCTTGTAACTTACCCTAATGTACACTGTCATCTTTTAAAAGGACAGATCCTAAATGACTTATGGCTTTTTGGTACTTGTTGATTGAAGTAAATGTATTTTCATCTGGGCAATTTAATATTTCATCTGTGAAGTACTCATTGCTGGATATGGTTTTCTAGGGTTAGCCTGTGCTGGGGGGTTTCTTTCAGGTAGGACTTATTAGAACATAGCACTGACGAGTCCTCGGGAAATAATAAAATCAACAATAAAAATTATGCCTAGAAAACTGAAGATACTCTTAAAGTTCTTAATTTTACCTACTATAGCTGAGGACTTTTAATGAGTTTGTTAATATTCAATTTTAAATTACAGTAGAGTCCCAATAGAACTGTAGGCAGTTTCTAGTCAGGATTGCTGAATTACTAACTTTGTACTTCCTGTGTCAGGTAGAAAATCTAAAATCTTATCATTGTCCATAATAGCCAATACCCTAGAGAGATCAGAGGAATAACTTAAAATCATTTTATCTCACATTTCGTGATCCTCTTAGTAGCTTTAGAACAACTGTGGCTATGTTATGTCAACATAAGATAAATTAAAGTTGCCTCTTCATATTACAAAGAAAGTAATTTAAATTTTACCTCCGGCTTCCAGGAGACAGCCTGCAAGCTGTGGAGATAGCCACAGGCATAGCCCACCTCCTACACACCTTCCCACCCCTGCCTCTGCTCCTGCAGCTTCCCTTCAGCTGACACCCTAAGACCCAGTTCAGTTGCCACCTCCTCTGTGAGGGTTTCTCACCTTTTCCCAGTTGGTTCAGCTAGACCCGGGATAAGGCTAGCTGGGCTAGTGTGTCTTGCCCTTGTGCTGACTATGAGTGGCAGTATTGTCAGGAAAATCATTAAGATGAGTTTTTTATGATTTAATCAGTTTACAATCCAGATCAAATTATGGTCATGATTAAGAACAAAACTCAAAATGAGGTGCTTTGGGAGGGCTGTGGGAAAGTTGTTCCCAACCATAGTGTGTATTGGATCATCTGGGTGGGTTCCTGGACAGTACCAATCCCCGAGTTTACCCTAGACCACTGCAATCAGAAATTCAGGGTAGAATGCAAACATTAATATTTGCAAATGATCCATGAGGCATAGATATCGACAGGTGGTGGATACTCCCAAGTAGAAGAAGCCGTGGAGCCCTCATGGAGGGGCCCATGGGGAACAGGGTCTTTGCACAGGGAGGAAGCTGCATTGCAAAGCCAGGGTGGAAAAGGAGCCTGGGTCTTAAGAACCTTCAGAGGCCATGGAATTCCAAGCCATCTTCATGCCCATTTCCTAAACCTGTCACCAGGATGAGAATGTGCTACCTAGTTCTAGGTGATTTAGCCATATCCCTCTTCAAAAGTATGGCCCTCAAACCCTCAGATTTCCTCTGAAATTCCTCTCTGAAAGAGCATTTGGTATATTTATAAAGCTTAGCAGCAGTATGTATCATTATTGCAGAATGAGAGATTCAAATTATAAATTCACTTTGGCAAATTAATGTAGAGGACATGGTAACCGCAGGGGTCTCTGATCGACCACACTCCTGATTCTGTAACAGTGAGAATCCACAGTCTCCATTTCCTTTACACATGTTCCCTGTAATACAGCAGTGGTCCTGACACCATCCTGAAGAGTTCTGCTGTGTCCCATTATAGTAATGTCTTGTCTTGCTCTCTACAGAAGGTGAATGAAGGGAAATACCGAAGTTATGAGGAATTCAAAGCTGATGCTCAGCTGCTTCTCCACAACACAGTGATTTTCTATGGAGGTTGAATATTTTTTTTCTTTTGTATGCATTTAATTTTTAAAAAATGTAATTTACATTCCATACTGAGAAATGTCTTTTATAAAACGTTACATTCAAAAAGTATCTTTATGATGTATACATAGGAAATGGTAGAATTTAAATTTATGAATATTTGGTGATGTAGCTTATAGAATTGACTTGCCAAAGGCAAAACTGTAGCACACTAAATGATAAAAGTCTATTGTTCTTTATAATTTCTTATGTGTTTGTTTGTCTTAGCTGAGAGGTTTTTTGCAAGCACTTTAAGTAAATTTGTTGTTTCCCTATTAATATTCCATTTTTGAAAGGTAAGAGTTCACTCTATGCCTAGAAAATTTGTGATTGTGTTGAATATAAAATAAAAGCTGCCTATTGAATTTTATTTTGCTGCCTCAATCTTACTTAAAATACATATTTTGGCTTCAAATAGCATATGTCCACTTCTGAGAAGTTCAAAGGACTTGGACTATACTAATCTTGCCAGTTGTGTTTCTAGATGATGATCGTAGGTCATACATATCTTTAATTACAGCAGACAGTGAGCAAGCGGACATCGCGAGGATGCTCTACAAAGACACGTGTCACGAGGTACTCTTTATGCCTGATCATCGGGCTTGCTGCAATCTAAACACATTTCAGGGTTCCACTGTTCTTATTCACATTTCCTTACCCATTTCCCTTACATGTAAGCTTACTTTCCTCTTTGACATACATGAGAAATAATGCAAATAGGAAAAAAAAATTCTGGCAAAACTGTTCAAAGAGAAATTCTGGGAGTTAGATTTGACCACTAAGTAACTTTCAGATACCCTTAAGCTTTTGTGAATATTAGTGAGATAATGCAGGTAAATGTGTTCTATTAGGGCAGCTACAAATGTTACCTCTTTGAATTAAGAATTCATATTTACCTCCCTACTGTACATCAAATGAAATGCATATTTAAGGAAGTATTTTTGAGTGTGTGGTCTTTCTTATTTGAAACACTTACCTCTAACCATATTACCTTTGCAAAAGTTCATCAGTTCATATAAGAAGTTTTATTTCTTGATTTCAAATTTGACGTTTGCTTTTTATTCATTCAAACAATGTTTATTGACTGCCTTCTGTGTGCCAGGTGATATGGTAGGAGGAATAAAATGGTGACTAGGGCCAAGGCTTCCTACTCAGGGAGCAGCTATCTTCTAAAGACAGAGACTGGAGCAAGAAACTGAGAAAACAGGTTTGGTCACAAGTTGTAAAAGAAAGGCTACAAAAGCAGCCAGGGATCAATAGGAGGGGCATCCTGGGGAAACCCCTCTGAGGAAATGCCCTTGATGAGAGTTGGGCACAGCTCTGGGTCAGACCCCGCCTGCCTCTCAGGGCCTTTGCCTTCCCCTTCATGTGCCTGCCATCTGAGACCACGGGGCTGGTTCTAGCAGGAGAGTGACAGGGTCTTCTACTGTTACCTACTGCAGATTTAAAAACCTGATTATCAACGATTACATAAGGACAAAGTTTATGTCTGTTTATGTACATGAATGGGAATGTTTGTGGGAGTACATTTTATGTAGACTGAAATAGCTGCTCTTCTTTTTCAGCTGGATGAACTACAACTTTGCAAGAACTGCTTCTATTTATCCAATGCTCGTCCCGACAATTGGTTCTGCTACCCTTGTGTATGTGAAATTTTGTCATTTTACTTAAGTGTGTAACATGGTTCTCTAAGGAAGTGTATTTCCGATTTGCTTAAAGAATATAATCCTTTATGAATATTTTTGTTTCATACTACATATGGCTTTCATGAGTGTGAACTGAAATATGGGGAAAATAATGAATCATTCTTTATTTTTCAATTTAAAATGAGGTACTTAGTAAAGACTAGATATCCTGTTCTTCAGCAGATGGTAAAGTGGAGGATGCGAGGTCGGCTTGCGATTGTGTAAGTCCAGCAAGCGTTTGCCCAAGAGCCTCAAGTGTTCAGGGTCAGCTCCCCAGTGACACTGGCTTCTGAGGCTGCCTGAGCAGCCACTCTTCTGAGACACTATTGTGCAAAACTGTCACTGTGCAGCTTATGAAAATGGAGTCTTCTGGTTTGGTAGATCTGCACAGGGCCTGAAATCCTCCCATTTCTAATAAATTCCCAGGTGATGCTGATGCTGCCGACCCCAGGCTACTCTCTTTGAAGCAGAGTTTAGGGCATTCTGTTTGCCGCTCTTGTTCCCATCGTCCTTGGCTGTTCCTGCTCTTTCTGAGAAATAAGGTTTATATCACCATTCTTATGCAATCCAAATTTTGGGTTTTTCTTAAAGGTAAAAAAGATATATTTTAAAAATAATGGATCATACTTGACTAAGTAGTTAAATATTAATGTGTACTTGCATTTAAGCCTAAAATGTTTTACCTTATTAATATTATTATTTTTTTTCTCAATTTTCAGATACCTAATCATGAGTTGGTTTGGGCTAAAATGAAAGGTTTTGGGTTTTGGCCAGCCAAAGTCATGCAAAAAGAGGACAATCAAGTTGACGTTCGCTTCTTTGGCCACCACCACCAGAGGTAATATGGGAACCATGTGCACTGATCAAGCTGTGCTTCTGAGGCTAGTGGCTCCTCTGTGAGGGACAGTGTGAAGCTTTTCCTTAAATGGAATAAACAAGATTAGCACTTGACTGTGCAGCTAGTAATAAGTTCTCTAAATTATATTTGCAGATAATTTTCAGATGCTCTTTGCTAAATAGGGCATTCTCAATAGTTGATGCCATTGATCCTCAGAAGCATATTAGCGATAAGATTAATAGTGCAGTAGGGTGGAAGAGTCCTTAGATTTTCTATTTCACAATTTTGTGAAGACTTTACTATTTCAACTATCTTCAAGACCCTGTTAAACCTCAGATGACAGTAGTCAGTTTGGGATTAGAGCTTGTGGATCTTACACCTTTTGAACGTGTACTAATGTGTTAAGTGTGGTGGTGTGTACATATCTGCACAACATTCCTTCTGGGAGATGAGTATGGCAAAACTTAAATTTACATATTTATAATGTAAGAGCACATAGACCCCAAGAGTAGAAATCATCTTATTAGCATAAAATTATTTTTCATAGTAAAGTTATCATATACAAAGTATGCTGAACTATTGTCTTATGAAATTATAATACCTTCTTCTTTGTGAACTAGGGCATTAGCACTATTGAACATTGGCATTTAGGAAGTCTAAAATATTGTCATATTAATGTTGTCACTAGTAGTGACTCACATATTTAGAGTGTCTCTGGTGACTATCCCAGGACTCAAGAGATTGATGAGTCCTAATGAAGCCACAAAAAGATTCAAGAATTCACATCAAGCTGGGCATGGTGGTGCACACCTGTAATCTTAGAGGCTGAGGCAGGAGGATTGTGAGTTCAAAGCCAGCCTCAGCAAAAGTGAGGCCCTAAGCAACTCAGTGAGACTCTGTATCTAGATAAAATACAAAGTGGGACTGGGGATGTGGCTCAGTGATTGAGTGCCCCTGAATTCAATCCCTAGCATCCACCCCGCAAAAGAATTCACATCAAGTTTTTTGTTCATTAAACACAAATATATTAAAATAAGGGGGAAAGTGAAGAAAAGCAGCTACATTATCTAAAAATTACCCTTTGCAAGGATTTAAATCAATAGCCCCTTTGTGTGTCCTGCCATGCCAGGTGAGTGAGGTTCCTGTGCACTGGTCATTGATGTCAGAGAATCTACAAAATGAAAGGCCTTATTCTCCCCATCATGAGTTTTTACTTACTTTTCCTTTAATTTAAATAGAAGTTAAGTGACAAAAACTTGTCAATACTTTAAATTTCTTTGTTCTTTCATAAATAGATACACACTCAGCTGACACTGCGACAATAAAACAATAAAATACACATGGACATTTTGGTCTTTGATTTACCATGTTTAGTACAGCCTGTGCGTTGATTTCGAGTTCTCACCAACACAGGGAAGCAGCGTGTGCTCACAGATGGCTGGGCAGTGTCCCCTGAGTTTGTGTCCTGGCTTTGCCACCCTCTGCCCTCCCAGGACATACTTATTGGCTCTGAGGATTGGTAACATGCAGACCTCTACAGCACCCACCTTAGAAGAGTTTCTGTAAGGGTAAAAGAAAGTGTAGCATGTAAGGACATGGGCATAGTACCTGGCACGGAGTGAATACCCCACAAGGGCAGCTCTTAGGATACAAATACGTGAGGGAGACAGGTGATTTGCTTTAGTTTTATAAAAAATTCATTCCATACGACACAGATGACTTATAAAAACTAAAACTTCACAGTTTATTGATAAAGCTATATTACTAGGTAAGAACGATCTGATAATCAGAATTTTTTACCTATATATTTGTCTTTTCTTTCTTTTTTTAAAACCAATTTACAGGTAGCTTTATAATATCTTTCAATGTAAATGACATTTTCTTAATAACCTGAGTTAATTTACATGTACTATGCAGAGAATATCTTAAAAGAACATCTGAGCTAGTGCACTCAGACCCTTTGCATAAGGTTGTCAGCTGAAGAGAGAATTAAAGCACAGAAATGCATTGCCAGAGGCTTTTTTCCCCAAGCTTCTTATTTCCTGCAAAATTTTGCGTAAACAGTTCTGCATGGATGAAACTCTAAAGTTTTTACTTTTAGAAAATAAACGTCCTATAATTTCACTATATAAACAGTTTCCTTTGCTTTTCCTGGATACAATGACCAATAAAGTATTTGAAGTCAGTGATTGGTAAGGTCATATATTAAAAATTCTATCATATTAGAATGTTTGATTTATTGAAAACAAACATGAAATTGTAATCATGAATTTTTAATTGCTTAAGCAATATACCATGCACCAAAAAGATAGGAGTCAGAAGGAGCCACCTGTTGTAAGTTCTGATGCTGCTGCTTCCTGGAGTGGGCATGTCATTAAGCCTTCAACATGGAAGTTGACGGCCATTGCACTCACACACAAGTTGCTTTGGAGGGGTTTTTGTAGAATTTGCAAATTTTTGTCTGCCAGAGAGAAAAAAAGCATCTGGTATTATCTCACTGCCTAAAGAAACCTGAGTCCTTTGCCACAAGTAGCTGAAGGCTGGGAAGGCCTGGGCCAGGAAGTCAGGTACAGGTAAGGAGGTAGAACATTTCAGGTTCTTTTACCATCCGATATTTCATGCTGCATATGGTTCAGAGCATTCAGGATTGACACACACATAGATAGAACCATTACATCTCTTTTTTGTGATACTTAAAAGCCATTATTATTTGTAAAACTGAAGTCCATAGTAATGGGATTGAGTGAAAGAGAGTAGAAGTGTATTATGAACTGTGCTGAGACTTAATTTAAGAGCAGATGTGAATCAGTTTTATTATATCCAACAGAAGATTTAATTTAAGAGGAAAAAATACCCTCATAAGTTACAAATTCATTCCAGGGGGAGCACTGTTTATTAACAGAATTCTCTCTCAAAAGCAACCCATGGCCAGGTATGTTGGTGCATGCCTGTAATCTCAGCGACTCAGGAGACTGAGGCAGGAGAATGGCAAGTTCAAGGCCAGCCTCAGAAACTTAGTGAGGCCCCAAGGACTCAGCACAACTCTGTCTCAAAATCATAAAAAGGGGCTAGAGATGGGGCTCAGTGGTTAAACAACCCTGAGTTCAATCCCTAGTACCAAAAAAAAAAAAAAGAGTGCACTTTAAAAAGTGAACAAAAACACTTTTGCTGATTGCCTACTATGTAATAGGCACTCAAAAAAAATTCATTAAATAAAAGTGAATTTAATACTAATTCAAAATCCAGTGGCAAGGAGCTCTTCCACAAACATCATTGTGTTCTGCATTAAAGTTTAGAGTTTTTCAAAATGTAGTATGCTTTAAAGTTTTTAACAAACCACACAACAGATGAGGCAGTGATGATATAATATTTATAAAGAACATTATGGAAATGCAGCAATTTTAAATATCGTTAGTATCTAACAGTATAGCTTATTACTATTTTAAAAGTGCTCTTAAATTACAAAGCACATAGCTTAGCTTATATGCACACATTAAAGTCTTTATTTATGGCTAAGGCACCTGTGGCCATCACTCTCCAAGAGATTCCTGCAGAATGGCCCTTATTTCTGGAACTCCATCATCAGAGACCTAGGATGAAACTCGTGACACCCTTTACATTTCTGGAAGGAGAACACTGAGAAGAGAAAGCCTCTGTGTGTTTGCAGGACCAAGTCCCAGTTTGTATCTACCTGCCTAGGAAACACTTGGTGGGCACCAAGGTGTCCACAGGCTTCCTGTCTCCTGTGCCGTGTCTGGGACCTCTCCCTCATCGTGCAAGGTGGAGCACAAGCAGGTGGCAACAACCTCTTCCCCTCCTTTACCTTGTGCTGCATTGTATCATTTCTTGCTCTTTCTGGCTAGATTGTAGGCTCCTTAAGGACAGAGACAATATGTGAAGTGCCATCGCAGTCATCAGGAGGCCCCAGACCTCACTGGACTCCTGCCACTAGTTAATGTTTACCCTTAACCTCCTGTGAGCAGCATCTCTGGCTGTCCAAACCAATATTGCCAAGCCCTTTTACTCTTACTCCACGTGGGGCCTGCCCCTGGTGCACAGTGCACCTCTTGAATTGATACCACATTTCTATGTGGGTAGTAATTCAAGTCTAGGCAAGAGGTTAATAGCCAGGTATTTTTCTTGAGTTCGAGCGTTCTTACTAAAAGAACCAAATATAATTTTCCATTCTTTAGTTTGCCATCTATATAATACATCATTCAGAGGCACTTCAAATTGTGTCCACGACTAAGTACATTGTTGGCAAACAATATACACATTTCTCCATTTTTTAATTGATCAACAGCATAAATAATTTTTAGATACCCTCATCTTATATGGAATCATGTGTGTGTGTCTCATGAAAATTTCTAGGCATTTTCAGCTGATTCTGTAGTGCTAATCTGAAAACAGCTGCTTGGGTCCTACTAGCTTACAGTATTAAAAACAGAAAAGGCAACTTTTTAAGAGGATTTGTGAAGAAGGTACATGTAAACCATGACAAGCTAAGCTGATCAAACGGGGCCAACGGAGTGGTTTGTGAACCACTCCAATTCTGATGACTTTGAATGTGTGAAAAAAGAATGCCACCTCCCTCCTTCCTGCGTGGTAAGGGCCTGTTGAGCCCCGGCCCACAGCCGCAGCAGCCTGTGCTTTATAGCAGGCAGGACCTCCCTCCCCCCCACCCCCCCACCCCCGCCTCCTCACCTGGCCCCACATTCTGGGCGTTCCTAACCATACCTGCCTTCAAATGCTGTTTGAAGGGCCTGGATTCCTTCTGAAAACATCCAAGACATCACGGTCAACGTGCATCGGCTGCATGTTAAGCGCAGCATGGGCTGGAAAAAGGCCTGTGATGAGCTGGAGCTGCACCAGCGTTTCCTTCGTGAAGGAAGGTTCTGGAAGTCTAAGAACGAGGACCGGGGTGAGGAAGAGGCGGAATCCAGCATCTCCTCTACCAGTAATGATCAGGTGGGTCTGGCCTGGGTGAGCGCTGTGTGCTCCTTCTTTTATGTGGGGGCGGGTCTGTGTTGACTATAGTAAACAGATTTTGACATTTTTCTTTCGTTTTCACACAAACATTTATGAAGTGCTCTGCATGAGAGAACAGAAACCAGTTCAAATAAACAAGTAGATATAAACATCAGTGACCTTGACCTGAGCATGTATCGAAGGGAGAGGCTGGTCCTCGAGGGCACCTTGGCCCACTGCAGCCTTCAGCGGGTGGAGGAGCAGAGGCAGAAGGGGGGGTGTGCTGTTGCCCTGCAGGGGTCCTCTACAGGCTTCTGCAGCAGAGGTATTTTGGTGTCTTGATTAATGTGCTGTTACTTTTATACTGCCCACAGCTGAAGGTCACTCAAGAACCAAGAGCAAAGAAAGGGCGCCGTAATCAAAGTGTGGAGCCCAAAAAGGAAGTAAGTGGCCAACCTTGCAATTGGAAGGGAGATTTCCAAAGTGTGGTTGTCAGGACAGTCACTTCTGGTGGCTGCTCGTAAACTCCATGGTCACCAAATAATATCCATCAAGCTCAAGCCCAAGCTTCTGACTCCCTCCCTGTCTCCTGCCACTATCCTGGCACACCCCAGCCCAGAGCCTGGTTCTCCTAGAGCATCCTGGGCGGGTTTGCTAAGTGGGAAGGGCACGTTGCTGCCTGTCCTGGGAACCTGGCGGGTTTTCACAACACTATTGAAGACAAAGCACTTATCCAGGAAGTCACTTATGGCAATAGTTAAAAACTGAACTATAACGAAGCTTGGGTTTTTAATTATAAACTATTCGTATTTTAAAGCTGTGTAAGTCTGGGTACATTCCACCCATATATTCGGTAAGAAGTGGTTTAGGATTTTAGGAAATTTATTAATCTTGTCCAAAGAAGTGATTGTAAGTTGGTGATGATTTTATATCGTATCTAACAAAATTTTTTGTTTATTTTAAAAGCAAAATGCACAGGGGCGGGGATGTGGTTCAGTCGGTAGAGTGCTTTCCTCGAATGCACAAGGTCCTTGGTTCAATCCCTAGCACCATAAAAAAATAAAATAAAAGCAAAATGCACAGTGTTAACATGTAATACAATTTTAAATGATATTTATTTTACAATTATTATAGCTATTAACTGCATTTTTTTCATTCATTGTTTGGTTTGGGGGGGATTTATTTTAAACTGGAAAAATACACTCAACAGGAGCTCCTCTTATTACATGATTTTAATAGCAGCTTATTAGCTATAGAGATCACTGAATTTTTATCCTCCTAGAGTTGTTCTTGAACTAGTGAATTATATTGCCCTATTTTGCCTCTGAACACTTTTTTCACCCTTTAGGAACCAGAGCCTGAGACAGAAGCAGTAAGTTCTAGCCAGGAAATTCCCACGATGCCTCAGCCAATCGAGAGAGTATCGGTGTCAACTCAGACCAAGAAGTTAAGTGCCTCTTCCCCAAGGATGCTGCATCGAAGTACCCAGACCACCAGTGACGGCATCTGCCAGAGCATGTGCCACGACAAATACACCAAAATTTTCAATGACTTTAAAGACCGGATGAAGTCGGACCACAAGCGAGAGACTGAGAGAGTTGTCCGAGAAGCTCTGGAAAAGGTAAAGCTGCTTGTTGTCGGGCCGAGACCAGGCGTTTCCCACAGAGGCTGTAAAAACTGGTAGCAAACCAGCATTCTTTACAATATTTTAATTAATAATAGTAACTTTCTCACCAAAATCATTTACATACTTTAGTGAAATCAAGGGAAAAGGCATGTATTTCAGTAGAAACTGCGGGTTGAGTTTTAGAGTGTGTGAGATTGAGGTAAAGCACCAGGGGTTGACTCTTTTCTTTCAGCTGCGTTCTGAAATGGAAGAAGAAAAAAGACAAGCTGTAAATAAAGCTGTAGCCAACATGCAGGGTGAGATGGACAGAAAATGTAAGCAAGTAAAGGAAAAGTGTAAAGAAGAATTTGTAGAAGAAATCAAGAAACTAGCCACACAGCACAAACAACTAATTTCTCAGACCAAGAAGAAGCAGTGGGTAAATATCACTTTTTTTTTTTTTTTTAAGAACCTTGTCTCTGAAAATGTGCTGCCCATTTGACAAACACACTCAGAAATGCATATGTGGCATATGCAAATATGTGGTGCATATTACTGAAAGAATATCAACTATGAAATTGTTGACTTTAACGTTTTTATTAAAAGTCCTGTAATCTCTCACTTACAGACCCCTGCTCAGGGTCATTTTGTGAAACATGTTGGTACATAACATGTTGAGTATAATTAATTTATGTATCTTCTGCATCTATGCAAGTATTTTGTTTGGGCAAATGGCCTAGCCCTGACTTTTTTTACCTGGTGACTTCTAAGACAAGTATCCAAATTGTGAAACTGTGAATATAAGTATCACAGCAATAGAGATTTTCAGATTTCCCCTGTCCCTGCCATTTATGCATTAGAGTTTTTTAAAGAAATTAATTACTTTCTTTTTATAGTAAAGCATCTCACTGGTTTCTAACTATACTCCCTTAAACCTGACTGGAGGTGTCAGTCTTGTTCTTGCTGCAGTGGAAGGTCTGGAAGGCACCAGGACCATGTGCTCTTCCTACACCCCCACAACACTGAGTGGGGAGAAGTGCTCTTAGTGTGTTTTCAGTTTTAATGACTTCATGTGTGGTGTTTTATAGTTTACTTTTAATTCTTCATCTTATCCAGCCTGCATTATTCTTTATAAATAAACTTTCCATTAAAGAATTTAACATTTTAAAAGTTGTGACAAGGATTTGGCAAGAAGAAATGGCATATAATTTAGATGAATATGCAGAGATAACTTATTAGGAAAGACTGGTGAACACTGGAGTAAATATCACCAGATGGAGAATTAAGGTGTGCCCAAGGTAATAACAGAACAAGGCCCAGAGACCAGGTCTGTAATAGTGTGTCTTCATGCAGGCAGAAAGCAGGAAAGCAACCACTAGAAAAGAAATCCATGAAAAGAAATCCCCATGAGTCCACAGAAGACCAGAGGAATGGGAAGAGGAGGCTGTAGTAAGGAATTATGATACTGCCATTATTATTATTATTATTATTATTATTATTATTATTATTATTTTAAGCATTTTGCCATTTGTAAAATAGCTGAATTTGATATTAATACTTTTTTTTTCTTACGATGAGGCATCAAGGCTTAGGACAGTACAGTGATTTTCTTTTCTTTTTTTTAATATTTATTTTTTAGTTTTTAGGTGGACACAATATCTTTATTTTACTTTTATGTGGTGCTGAGGATCTAACCCAGTGCCTTGCGCATGCCAGGCAAGCATGCTACCACTTGAGCCACATCCCCAGCCCAGTTACAGTGATTTTAAAACTAAGTAGAGCTGGAGCTCATCTTCATGAGCTGGAACTCCAAATCCCGATCGTTCCTGCTCATCAAATTGTATTTTACATTTTGCAAGTAGAACAGGCTCACAGGACAGAAAGCATATGGTGTGCCAGATACACAGCATGGGTGCTGAGATATGTGTGTGAGCCATGGTGGTGTCTGAGGGCATCCACAGAGAGGCAGAAATATAGAGTAAATGCACAAGCACATGAGTTACTAGGACACCTGGGAGACAGGAGAAGGGATGGTGCTGTTTAAAGGGTTATGTAAAGGCAAGCTAAGATAGAAGTTAACCAAATACAGACTGACGTCACATGGCCAGTTAGTGGCACAGGCCCATATTCTAATCCCAAACCATGTGATTCATCCGAGCGGTTTCTGAAATTAAATGTGCTCTACCTTTCTACAGCATCTTGATGAAACTGCAGCTGCTGACATAACAAGGTCACAAAGTGTCTCAAAATATTAGCCAGGTGCAGTGGTATACGCCTGTAATTCCAGTGACTCAGGAGGCTGAGGCAGGAGGATCTCAAGTTTGAGTTTAACCTCAGCAGTGTAGCAGGACCCTGTCTCAAAATAAAAAAAGGGGTGGGGAGATAGCTCAGTGGTAAAGTGCTTCTAGGTTCAATCCCCAGTATTGAAAAATAAATATACACTAGAGAACAAAGGGTGGAAATTTTACAACCAAATGTGGGCTCTTCTCCCAGAATCCCCAAGCCTGCATCTCACGGTGTGTGTACCTGTATGAATCTCTCCGAAGATCTTGCATGTCTCTGCTGACCCACCAGCAAGGTTTGCATCCAAAGCTAGCCTCTCATCTTCCAGATCATTCCTGTTCCTTCTCAACAGGGTGACTATCTATGATATTACTCCAGCCTGAAACCTGAGCTTTTACTCTCACAAGGTTTCTTCTTCCACAGTCCGGCCTCAGTGCTGTGAGCGCGTGGGTGTGCTCCACTGTTGGGGAACAGGGCTGTGCACTGTAGGATGTCAAGCAGCATCTGGGCCTCTCGATCCCGGTGCCTCTCCCCCAGGAGCTATGACAGCTGAAAGGGTCTCCAGGGCTAGGGATGGAGCCTGGGGTCAGGTCTTGCCTGGCATGCTGGAGGCCCTGGGTTTGATCAGACATGACACCAAAAAGAAAAGAAAACAATACTCCAGATACTGTCAAGTAGGAATTATCAAGTAAGATGAAGACTGAGACTTGACCTTGAGATTCAAGGTCAGTGTGATCTTGATGATAGCATACTCAATGGCCTGGAGGGTTGCAAGACAGCATTGGAAATAAAGAGAAACCGGAAGTCAGGCAATTGTTTCTCAGAGTTTGGGAGGAGCAAAATAATAGGTTATAGCTAGAAATGGAGGGAAGGCAGAAGCTTTTAAAGGAAAGGATAATAGCCCCTGTGTGCTGATGGAAGGGCCCTGTAGACAGGAACAAAAGCTGATGCTTTGCAGGTGAGCTGGAGTTTGCTAAAACCAGAGCTGGCCACAGCCTCGGGCATCGCCCCCTAGGTTTCCTTCCCCTAGTTGGTGAAAAGGACACATTCAAGTTCCAGCATCCTGGTGATGCTGTTTAAGTTTGAGCCAGAAAGAGCTTTAAACACAGCTGTAAAGGCCTACTGTCAGGGCCCATATCTTACCTGGCCACGAGTCTCATGCATCGCCTCGATTCCTGTCTGCAGTGCTACAACTGTGAAGAGGAGGCCATGTACCACTGTTGCTGGAACACGTCCTACTGCTCCATCAAGTGTCAGCAGGAGCACTGGCACGCAGAACACAAGCGCACCTGTCGCCGGAAAAGATGAAGCCGGCCCTTCCCAGAGCGCCCCGACGGCCACTCCTCAGACACAGCGGTTTTTGTTTCCAAGAAGCCAAAATTGTTTAGAATTTGCTTCCCATTTTGCACCAGCCTTTAAACACTTTTCGTGAAGAAATTTTGCACAGTAGTTTAAATCTTTTGTTAATGCTCCTCCGGAGTTTTTCAGGGGGTTAAAGTAACATCAGTGGAGGGTATTATTTTAAATGAATTTTAATTGAGAATATGTTGCATTTTCAGCAAATTTTAAAACATTTTTAGGTTTTACAGAGATTTTAACCTTTAAACAACAGATCTTTAAAAAAAAACAACAGGTGAATACAAGTGAGTTTAACAAAGAAACATTTAGAATAGATCTGAATGTAAGAACTACAGAACTGTTTCAGAAATAAAACATACTACCTTGATGTGACGTTTATTTCTTAACCTTGTTGAGCTGGTTTTGTTCAGCTTGATTTACTGTTCAAAGGCATTATCTGTTGGTTATGCCAGTGGGTATGTGATTAAATTTAGGGAACAGGGTTGACACAGCAGGGCTAGTCCTGCGTATTTTTTCTTAAATATTTCCCAATTGTGTTTTTCATTATTTCTTTTCAATATATAACTTTTATAACAAATTATTAGCTTTGATCTTGTAGTTTAAAATTGCAGGGAACTGGGGTAATCTTTTACTGAGCTGGATCTTAGAGAAAATGAATATTTAAATTTTAAAGTTTGCACATTTCATCTTTTGTCCTAACATGAGTGCTTGTAACAAACAAAAAGCCAAAAACTACCTTTATCCATATGTGAAATTATAGAGGAGGCATACAAATTCCTTCCCACTTCCCTCCCCTCCCCAGTGCCGTCCTAACTGCCCATTATCTGGTGTCACCTCGTGTCTGTAAGTTAACAAGGGAGAGAAAGCACTTAGTTTCACAGAAGCCTAAGTCATGTTTGTGGTAGTGGGTCTCTGCCTACTAATGAACTCATCACTGTATACAGAATGAAGAATAATGCATGTTAATTTTCTTGTATTAAAGATGCCGTGATTTGTAAAAAGTCTGTATTTTCCGGAATGTCTGGATTAAGAAGCATTACCAATAGGAATGGATCGATAGTTGAATAATGATTTTTTTTTTTATACATAGATATATAAAATACAGCCAGGAAATCTTAAATTACTTTTCTTTAAAAAAAAAAAAAAAAAAACTCACAATTTATGTTCTTTTCCAAGACTGATCTTAGACCAAGTCAAATTCCCATTTATCATTTAGCTATTTTTTGAGGTTAGAGAAATAATTTGTAAATATTTATTTAGACCTTTGATATTTATTAAAGCAATTACTCACAATGGAAGTGGAAGAATCTGGAGAAAAGCCTTTGAAAAAGTTTCCTCCAGGTTTGTCAGGGTCACTCTAAAGATGGAAACGTCAGCGGGCCTTCTGTGAAACAGCCATCCGGTCTCCATGCCGTTGCGGATGGTGGTGACACAAGGTAATCGATGAACTACTGCCACATGGTGCACAGGATTCGTACAGACCACTCAGTAGCCCCACTGCGCACGATGGACTTACATTATGCAGTAACTCGGCGTCCTGGTTCCCTCCCCATTGCTGTGTAATTGGTCAGTGTCGCCATGGCGCGGACAGAGATGGCATCACCAAGCACGCTTACCCTTCTTTGGTTGGTTTTCAAGTTTTGAGACTTCGATCCACCCCTATGAGAGCAAGTTATTGTGGAAATATTTTTGGTGTAAGATCATTCCAGAGTATGTAATATTTAACTGATAGCTGCATGAACGTGAGATTCGTGTTACTTTGGCTTTTTTGTCTCTGTTGACACGGTTGCACATTTCCCAGTTACTACAGTGTGAAAACTGTGTGTTTAAAAAAAAAAAAACAAAAAACAAAAAAATGAAAAAAAGATTGTGGCCTGGTTTTGTAAAAGTTTTAGGTAAAATTACAATTGATTGTTTTAGGAATCATTATTATAAATTTTCTGCAAATCATAAAGCTATATCAAGGTGTTGAGCTTAGCCACTATGCACATTGTAATTATCCATTGTGGCTGTCCAGTTCTATGATGCATTCTGGCATTTTGTAAGCTGCTCTGACTAGCAATATATAGATTCATTTAATGTGTTAACATTGGTTAATAAATGTATTTAAAAAAAAACACACACAACTGGCTTAATAAATTGATTTAGTCCAGACCCCAAGACCAAACCCAGCACACTTTCTGTGTTGACCAGATGCTGTGGGCGGTCGCAGCTGACTGTTTAACTCTGTATTAAGTTGACCTGTTGGACACTTGATTGAATTTTCCCTGACCAGTTCTCACAAGGGCAGGAGAGGCTGATAGGTGCGTGTCGGTGACAGCGGTGCCTGCGTGTCAGCCGAGCCTCTCTCTGCCTTCTCTGTCCCCTGGTGTGGTCAGCAGGCATGAGTTTGCAGTAGGAGGTCCTCTATTCAGGTGTCAGTGGATGTCCTTTTTGTGTATCACAGCTGGGCTCAGCTGGCTTGAATACTGCAGTCCCATTTGCAGCAGGATCTGGATGTTTCCAACAGTGATACTAGGATATTCTTGTCACCCTCACTTTACCATCTTTTTTTTTTTTCCCTCAATCCATGGTCCTCATTTGGAAATCTCTGTGCGATACCATCTCTGATTCTGGGCCTTAGCATAATAATTGTGTTCAAAACAGCTTTTCCAGGAAAAAAAGACTCCAACAAGCATTGACCCATATCTACATGGGAATCACTAAACAGTGTTTGACCCCAAACTGAGGGAAGAGGGCTCCAGGAAGACGACTGGTGGGAGTGGAGAGGGGCAGACCAGACTGGACGGGTGAGGCCGTTGGTTAAGAGACGAGGGAGCAGCAGGCCACTTTCTAATATTTAATATGAAAAACAAAAAACTGGAAATAGGGTTCTTGTGCATGATGCCAGCTTCAGTGCAGGGCACATCACACTCTGGTCACCTGACTAGACCACCGTGCTGTGAGATGCTCCAGTCTTTAATTCAGGGGTTCACCAACTTGACATCAGGACCATGGTGCAGGGGTGGGGGTGGGGGGGGGGTTAAAGCACCGCCAGGTTCACCCCCATCATTTGCATTGCAAACAGGTTCCAAAGCCCTGCCATCCTAGAGGGAAAAAAGCAAAGGACACTTTCCTGAAAAGAGGTACATGTGTATATGTGCACAAGAAAATTGCACAATTCTGTAGGTTCCTGAGGCCCAGAATGATCTCGACCCTCAGGTTAAGAATCTTTGGTCGGTGTAATTGGTGAGACAAAAATATGGGTAGGAAAAAGAGTCACCGTAATCTGGACTCAAAGCGTTCTGCGCACACAGACCCCCCCCCCTTACCCCACCCCCAGCAGACCTTGCTAGAATGCAGGATCTGACTCTGTGGCATTCTGTGGTCGCCCACAGGCTTCCAGGTGATATTGATTCTGCTGACCAGAGACCACACATGAGAGGCAAGGCCCTAAATGGGTGTAAGTTTACAGAAGTACTAAATCACCAAGTTACACACCCCATGAAGCAATGCCGTTAAATGAGAATATATAGTGTGAGGCATGTACGTACTTTTCTAATTGCCATATTAAAAAAGTGAAAAGAAACAGGAAATTATCTTACCCTTATATATCTGAAAATCATTTCCATACGTAATTAAAGCTATTATTGGCAACTTACATTGTTTTATACTAAATCTTGCAAATTTAGCACATCTCCATTCAGAGTAACCGGGCTCCCTCCCCTGTGGCCAGTGGCTACCCAAGAACAGCATCCTAAGAAGCCATGTCCCAAGCAAGTCCCTGCCCTGTCATCGGCTTAGCTGTGACAGGTGCTCACACAGCAAACACTTGTTAGAGCAGCTCCATGACATCTAGAAGCTAAAGAGAAACATTCCAACCAGCTCTTGCCTGAACATGAGCTCAGGAAGGCTCTCTTCTCAGTCTCGCACTTGAAGTCATACAGTCAACACATTCTGAACCCATTTTAATTAGGCAGCCCTGGAGAAAGATCCTAGGTGTCCTCATGGGTCTACAGGACAGTTTGAAGACCCTTGTGTAGTCTAAGTCCTTAACCTCATATTGGGGAGAAAAGAGAGTCTGTGGGAAGTTCTGTGCTGTGGCAGCCTGGATGAACCAGGAGGTCGCAGGCAGGCAGGCAGAGCCTCTCCTCCCTGGGCTGGCCTGAGAGGCCAGAAGGCTGAGAGGAGCCAAGAGAAGCAGCCCCACCCAGAGGCAAGCTGAAATGCTTCCATGCTAGTTGACCAGAGGGTGTCTTTTATGGTAGAGTTTTGTTGTTGTTGTTTTTAGACATTGATGGGCCTTTATTTATTTCATTTATTATATGTGGTGCTGAGAATCGAACCCAGGGCCTCACACATGCTAGGCAAGCACTCTGCCACTGAGCCACGACCCCAGCCCCCATGGTAGAGTTTTGCTTTTCTGTTTTCAGGAGAAGGGCGATTAGAACACCTTTCTTGCATTTGCTGTTTTTCAAGTGCCTTTAGCTCAAAATGATGCTCATGCAAAAGCAGCACATCATGGGGTAGCATATTCCACACTTCAAGGACACTATGCTAAGTGAAGTAAGCCTGTCACAGAAGGCCACCTGCTGCGTGAATCTGCTTCTGGGGGTGTCTCTAACAGCCAAACTCTGGAGTCTGTGGGGACCCGTGTGGGCAGGAGCACCAGGAAGGGGAAGAGGAGAGTTGCTGGGGGGGCATGGGGTTTCAACAGGCAAGACGAGTGAGTCCCAGGGGCTGACTGTACCACATCGTCCCACAGTCGACCACACAGTGCTGCCCACTGGGTGTTCTCACCACAATAAAATAGAAATTTAAATCAAAGGCCAAGAAGATATAGGGAGGGAATGCAAAAGCTCTAAAATTACTAAACACACAGTAGGTGCTGCTTTACACCCCGAGGACTGCTGAGCAGTTGGCAGTTTATCTGTAGGGTCTACATCCCAGCACCCCCAGGGATGCCTGCAACCACCAAGGGTCCTGAACCCTGCATATGTTTTCTCCTAGACATATACCTCAATGACAAGGATCAATTTACACATTAGACACCTGTAAGAGATTAACCATAACTAATAAAATAGAATGTTCATGACAACATACCGTAAAAAGATTATATGAATGTGGTCTCTAAAAATATGTTACTGAGGGGTTCTCCCCCTTCTTGTGATGATGTGCTGCCCACGAGGCAGAATGGAGGCATATGCAGGGCCAGGCAGCAGGATGCATGTCAGGTGGAGCATCCAGCCATGAGGGAGCCAGTCCACTGCAGCGGTTGAAACTGTGGAAGTGACACTGCAAGTAAAGGGGACAACGCTGATAAAAGGAGGTGATGATAAGCACTGACAAGATATGGAGAAACTGGGATCTTCACACACCCCTGGCAGGAAGGTCAAATGTCATGGCCACTTTGGAAGACAGCTTGAAGTTCGTTAGTTAAATAGTGTCCCCATGCCATCCCACCAGTCCACTTCTAGATATGCCCCTCAGAGAAATCAAAAGGTGTCCCCACAGAGGCCTGCACTCACGCTCATACCAGTACTACTCCTCAGAGTCACAGAGAGAAACATCCAGAAGCCCACCATGGATGATGGCATAAACAAAATGTGGTACACACATAATAGACAAGAGAATATCGCGTAGACTTTAAAAGGAAGGAAAATTGATACATAAGTCATAGAGGATAAACACGGAAAGCATTCTGCTAAGGGAAAGAAGCCCGGCATAGAAGACCACGTGTGATCTGATTCCACTACAAGAAATTTCCAGAGTAAGTGACTCTATGGCCAACAGAAGCAGATCAATGGTTGCCTGGGGCTGGGCACCTGGGCAGGGTGCAGGTGGGATGGGGAGTGACTGCCAGTAAGCACAGGGTTTCTGTGTGAAGTAACAAGAATGTTCTAGAAGAGCTGGATTGTAGTCATGGGTGCATACCTGTCAATCCACTAAAAACCATCTCATTGTATAATTTAATGGGTATTTTTTTGTTTTCGTGAGTTACATTTCCATAAGATGAATAAGATTGGATAGGTAATGGACCTCAATTAAGGCTTTTAAAAAATTAATGTAAAAGCCATTCCATGAGGTTAACCGTAGAAACATTCCAGCTAACTCCTTTGTCCATGG